AGCCTAAATGGATTTCCACTTTGCTCAATAAGGCAGAATGGCATGTACTGCATTTTGCTTCCATGAAAGCAATGAACACATTTAAAAAAAACTGGCCATTTGTCATAAACTTTACCTATTTGGAAAATTGGTTAATTTAGTACAGATTATTTTCCAACTGTCCTAGACAAAGTATTACTATAATGTTGCCATGTGTCTAATACTATGGAATAAAAATAAGACCTTTACAATCATTTTGCAATTTTATCGTCCTTATACTCTTCAATAAAACTGATACAATTCTATTTAAATTTTAGAATAGGCGATAAAAATGCAATCATATGTTTTGTTTCCTAAGAAATGCCAGGTTAAAATGAAGAAATGTGATTGTTTTGAATACTCAATTATTTTGAACATTTTCCTGCTATATGTTATAAGTTATTTTCTTCTTTTTTCTATTTCATAGGCACCAGAAGTTCAGGAGGACACATATAGTGATGATACAACCTAAAACCTACACATGTGATTTTGAGATGACAACAGTTATTTGTAGATTTTAGACTATGTTCCATACTGCTAGACTGAGTACAACATGTTTGCCCTAACATCTTTTCCAAGCTTACAATATGGTCTCTAGTTTCAAGTGATGACAAAGACAGACTGGTAATCAGAAAGCAGGAAATTAATTTTTGAAAAATCCTTAAAGATTCCTTTGAAGTCTGATGTAACATCACCTCTTCAAGTACACTAACTGCACTTCCTTCAATGATTTGTTTTTACATTATTCTATTTACTCTTTAACTTTCTAAATTTAATTTGAATTGCATTTACACAAATGCATTTTTCTATATACACCCAACTATCCAGACCATGAACTTACTAGGTACACGCTGCTGAGATTTGAATGGAAGCAATATGGCTCGAGCAAATGCAAAAAAGACTTCAAAGTTCTGAGTGAATTTGCATAGAGACATAAATTCTCCAGGATATTCAAAGCCATAAATTTGCTGCAGGACATATATAGCTCTCTCGTGGCTCACGGAAGCACAACAATTCTCTTTATTTCACATTTGTCTATTACCACGTTTTCTCCAAGAATCTTCACAGGCTCTCCTTCTTTGCCCGCACTGTTTTTACTTCTATATTCAGAATGTGCTAACGGGTAGCGGTTGCATTTACAAAGTTAATAGTATTGGACAAGCTAAATGAATTTTAAACCCAGTTCTCTCCTCCTCCCTGTGCCCTGCCTAGAACACACGCAGAGGTTGGGAGGGATAAACTATGGGCACTACCTGAGTTAAAAATGAAATAAAGAGGTTTTGCTTTTCAAAATTGTTGGATTAAATATGGTTGACCGTAAGAAAGATTTTATTTGGCTGTTTGAAATATATGTATGTATGTATACATACAAAATATATATAATTTATAGTATGCATAACAATATATACATATATAAATATATGTAAACATAGGTATTTCATAACCTATGTGTATATATATATTTATATATAATTTATATATATATATTTATATATATATATAAATTATATACATATGTATAAAACAAAAGTAAACAAATACGTTGTTTGGACCAGAGGACAGAGGACAGCATTTTCCATTCAACATAAAAAGGAAATAATTGATTTAAAATATACCCCCTTAAGCTTCAGTCATTACTGAAAGTTTCAAAAGAGAATTTAGAAGAAAATGGCAGTTTGTTTTTTAAAAACTCATACCAAAATATGAATTTCTTTTCCTAAATTAATCTCGGGATCCTGGATAAATGTCAGAATGTCCCCATAGAGTGATAAAGGGTGAGAATCTGGCCCTGGATGACTACTATGAAGTGATTTCATAAATATTTCAAGTAATTGTCTTTCACTGTTTTAAATCACTGTTTTAAATGGCCATCCTCCTGTTTTGGTCGGCCTTCCATGCTCCCCCCACCCCCCATTTAAAAATAAAAGATATTGTTGCCAAACTGCCAAGTCTTAATCATGATAATAAAATAAACACCCCCTTTTCAATGCAAAAGAAAGTTTATCTAAACATGTACTAGCTCTTTGTACGTAAGCTGCATAAAATTCACTCCAAAATATCTTATGCAAATATGAAAGCATAAAGCAGTTATTTCATGACTAAACATTATTTTGCCTCTTCATCTTTCCAATTTATTTTCATACACGTACAACCTATAATGTAGACAGATGCACACTTGATGCAAATTAAAATAACATTATTCCCATCAGCACTGTAACTGCTGAATTGATATATTTAAAAATTTTAATGATATAGATAAACAGTCTGATCACGATGCTTTAACTTTATTTAAAAATATGCTTTGGAAATAAAAAAGCAATATGAACAATAAAAGTGAGTACACATTTGTTTGGTTCAGGTCAGACTTTTCTATGATGTGATCACACATTTTACAAAAGTGTGAAATTTAGTGCATGGAAAAAGAAGACTTTTGTCCTGCCTGTGACATTTATGAGGATCACTTCACAATCCAGATTTAACTGAAAGGAAAAGTCATAGGAAGTTGAACATGTTGAGTTCAAAATAGCATTGTCTAAAAAGTTCCAAAGAAAATTAATAACAATTATGAAAATTAAAGTATTTAAAGGATGTGACCCCCAAATAAATGATTTCTTTGATAAGATGTTTAACAATGAAATACAGAAAGAAGACTCTCAAAACTGAAACCCTCTCTTACAATGAAATGAAAATATAACTTATTAAAACTGTCCTTATGGTATCATGTGGGGTATGAACAAAAGAACTCCATTATTTAGTTCCAGATACCTCATTTAAAATACATTTCTTAAAAATGTGAAAATCCTCTAAAAGTTGAAAGTCTTGATATTCAGCTAGCTGTTTCAACCCAGACACCTCTCTGCAATCAAAAACTTTCCTCAAAATGGAATTATTTAGAAGCCCCAAACCAATTTTTTCTCTCATGACATTATTCCATTGGAAAAAAACACCTACGTTTCAAATTGATACAACATTAAGAAGATTTAATAAACTAGTTAGGGGAAGCTGAAAATCGAGAACACCCTGCCAATTTCCACAATGAGTTAAAATAGCCAATGCTCATCAGTGTTTTTTATAGAAATAAAATCAGGCGCATCATGAAATCTGTCACCGTACCTGCGTTTACTTTAAACGACTACGGCACACACGCTGTTAAGATCTTCACTCTGAGAAATAAAGCACACTTCATGTAACTGCTGCAAAACACTGCTGCAGAGGAGCCCAGTGCATTTTTTTTTCGGGCAACCGATCCTGCCTTTCCACCAGCCCTGTGACCTCTGAACTCCCTTCTGCCCCCCCTCCTCTCGCTTCTGCAGTCAAAGCCTCGGAGCTGGTCTCATTTGCATAAGGCTCAGGCAGCCCTCCAGCAGCTGAAACGGAATGCTGGGTAAGGAATTGTGGAACTGCGGTTCTGCCAGAATACCTGAATCGCCCGAGAGCTGCAATACGCGATGGGGAGTGGGCACCAACTGCGCCGGGCTGTCCGCATCACAGCCTCCCGCCTCCCCACCCACCCCCGCGTCTATTAATGGATAAGTGTTTTTTAACTCTTTGCTTTGGAGTGCTGCTTTCCCCCCTCCCCACCAAAAAGAAGCTGTCAGCAGCGACAGTGGTAACCAAGGAAACTCAAATAGTCAAATACTTCATTTAAATACATGTGGAAGGCCAATTTAAAATTTTCATTAACTTCTCTTGTTTTTGAAACATAGCTATTTTTTTCCCCCTTGGAATACATAGTACACGCATAATCAGGGACATAGGGTATTTCTTTTTGTTGTGGTTTAAACAGCATCTTACAGGCATACAATTATTTGAGTCACTATACAAATACATGAAGTCACCGGTAATTCTATAAAACGTTAAATGTACTCTAGTGCCTTAGAGAAGATCATCCTAAATGGTGTCCAAGAAATTAATTGTAAAGAATTTAGGTCCCACGATGCCTTTAAAACAATACAGCAGTAAAAATGCAGAGCAAAGTTAAACTATGTGTTTTGATGTAAAGATTCATGCAGCAGTAATGCTTGTCTGTCTTTGACAGAGACGTTCAGTGTTCAGTGTTGTGCTATTATTTGCTAGAGTTATTTCTTCCTTGTCTTCCTACACACAGCAATCTCTCTATTTAAAACATAAACTCTCTTGCTCATAAACCTAAGAAGTGGTTATTTTCTAGATACAGAAGGTCATGTGTGCACATATTTTTATAAATACCCATGGAGGCACATATTCTTCTTTTCTAAATGGTGAGTCAATGGAAATATGCATCATCACATAACTAATCAATTCTTCTTTTTTAAATTAAGCTAATTTGTTTTCTCCACTAATGAGTGAATATTCATGAAATAAAAGGTTTAATGCAATATTTCCCATCTATCAAAAGAAATATAACATGCAAAATAAAAGGCACACAACAGATTACTACAGATATATACTATATTATAGTTAAATATAAAATGCATTATTCTCGGAGATAGCATTATTAACATTTCAAAATTTTCTTGGTTTTAAAATTTTTTATTTAAATAATTAAATACACTAAACCTCTTGCAGTGCACTGAAAGACATCAATAAATTTTGAAGGATATATCATCCAAATCATAAGACACAAACTATTGCAATACAGGATTTTTTAATACCGGAAACATTAATGTGCAGCTTTTTATTTGAGCTATTTGTTAGTAGTATTCTGCTTTATGTTCTTTCCGAATCCTAGAAGATTAGAAATTGTTGAATGATTTTAACCCATAAATTTTTAAATAGAATAAATAACTTTTCAGTTTACTATAATCATATAAACGTTTCTCTATCACATCTGACTACATCAGCCATTTAATTGAATTGGGTCAATTCAAGTGCATCCTTCATATTACACACTGTAAATATCTTGCAAAGTTTTTGTTTAAGGCAAAACACACATCAGACCATTCTAATTTAAATCCAATCAAACACAAGGAAGTGTAGGAGTAATTTATAAAATCACTGACCTGTTCAAATAGCTGTAGTCTTAGTCCTTGCACTCTTTATTCATTAGAATCCAAAATAAATTGATTATCATTTTATAATGTGTGTCAGCATCACCGAAGGCACTGTTCTTCCTGGTTCAGCGGAATCTTCTGAAATTTGCCAGCCCTGTGTTTTATTGCTGGTACCGTATGCTTTATTGTTCAGCGACAAGAGCTTCACTCTGCACAAAGACTCATTACCTACTGCTTGCTGCACGGCATCAGCCTCACTGAGGCTGCCTATATGTGATCACATGGGAGTTTTGTCTGAGAAAGCCAGGCATGCCACTGACTTCACTGTGTGTATGGATATTTTTATCAGCTGAGGTCTGCTAGGAGGAAGGAATAACAGATTAGGAAGCTGCTCTAAGTCATTAATGCAGCACAACTTATGGAAATCCCTTCACAAGATTTTTTTTTTTTATTATAGAAAGCGTTTGAGCAGGCATTCAAAGGAAGTTCACTAGATTTTATTTTAATAAGAGGCTGGATAATAATTTAAGGAAGGGGAACTAGCAAAGAGCTATTTCCTACCTTCTGCTTTCTGAAAGTACTGTTGTACAAATGTTATTAAAGAGCCTTGCTTAACTGAATGATTTGACAGTATGTTTTAATCTTTAGATTGCTGGTGTTTCTTTTTATTGGAGGAGGTTGCTCTCTAAAAGGATAAGTGGCTGTTTCCCTAAAAATCTCCTCAATGAAAATCTCAATCACTAATAGATACAATATATGAATAAAAATAAGATATAATATATGAATAAAAATATAGATGTTCTAATTATTTTTGATAAAGTAGATGAGAGGGTGAGTCTCTTTTATTGATGTATATAAGTGAGGTAGATGATTAATTTATCTTCTCAAAAGATGACACATCCCTAGAACAGCTGACTTAAAAGAACAATGAAGATTTCAATTTAAAGATCTAAAGGACATGTGGTTCATATTAATTCTTAAAATCTCAGTAACTTATTTTAGACCGCTTACCTCAACAAAGCATATGGTTTACCTTATCTGATTTCAGTGTTAACAAGTAGTTTCAGAGCTGACTACTCAACATTTACAGGAATTTTCTGCTATGTAAATATTGAATTAATACATATACACACACACACATAGGTATAATCAGATTATCTTTCTGAAATACATTTTAAAATAATTACCTAAAATTATTTCTCAAAATTTGAAAATGGATTGTGTATTTCCAAATGAAAAAGCTATTTAATAATTGGAAGTTGATGAAAAAAATAAACTTCTTATCTCTTTAATAATCTAAATTGAATTTGTAACTGAAAGCTTGTTGCTTGTTAATCTCAATGGAAATCCTATGACAAGTACACGCAATGTGCAACAAAGAGCACAGAAAGAAAAGTCAGAAGCATCATAAATGAAGATCAGAAAATAAATTTTCTGTACAGTTATATATTACATTTTAATAGTGTTTGTAAGTAATACAGTAATCTTAAAAATAGTAAATCTATACACCTGCTTAAACCTTCCATTAATGAGAAGTTATTTTTTGGAAATAATTATAACACAATTTTTTTTGTCAATGGAAATTTTTAAAAATAATTTAAAGCCAGAATAGGCACATGTGGCTAAATATTTTAGCCAGTCTCTAAATACAATGACTTAATGTCATTCTTTATAATATTTTTTGTAGTGGTAGCATTGATTTAGAATGTTTCATGACTTAAATAAATGCCTTTTCATGGATTTTTCTTAACATTGAAAAAAATATTCAGATATGTTTTAAATGCCACCATTTTAATGCATTTGTTCCAAAATGCTCAAGTTCCTTTTTCCCCCTGCACACAAGAGCTACACTAAAGCTGCAAAACCTTGGGGCATTAAGAGGAAAAGGAAAACAGAGTGTTTCTGGCTTATAGTATACCTCTGGGTTCTTAAAGATATGTACATTCTAGCTAATATCTTTGATGATGTCATCATGTTAATGTACAAGGAAATAAACAAAAGGCAGCCATTTTTCTCTTACTGCATCACTTCAAAAACAGTGAAATAAAATGGTTGCCAAATGGAAGGAAAGAATCAGTAGAAAACTGTTACTTCCAAATTCTTGGGATAGGGAGGGGCAATGGGTGTGAAATTAGAAATAAAAATCCATATATGTGAATTTTGTATGAATGTATGTAAAGAAATAATTTACAGTAAGAAAGAACTATATATATATATATATATATATATATATATACATATATATATAAATACAAGGGATATAGAAATAGCTACCAATTAAAACAAATTAGTAAAATAATGTCTCCAATGGAAAGACTATAGTCTGTAAACAATGTATTAAATGTAAAAGCTTATTAAATTCATTAATGTTGAAAAGTTTATTTAAAGGTGGACAACAGAGTTGGAAAGACCTAGAAAGAGACAAAATGATCATGAAACAGTAATAAGCTTCCCAGGTCTACTATTATCTTAAATGACCTTGGTGAGTTATTTTATCATCTTATGCCTTATTTGTCAAGTCTGCAAAACAGGAACAGAAAAATTTTTGGAAAGCATGTCATGGAAATATATAGCAATATTTTTACACTTCAGTTCCCTAAACTGGTTTTATTCAAGCATTGTCCACTAATATTAGTAAAATGAGAAAAAATGATGTAAAATTCTAATGATTATTTAGAAGAATTTTTAAATGCATTATCCTAATAGCCAAGACAAACAGATATAATAAGTAGATAGGACTTTTGGAAACAAGAGGCAGTTTTTCCTAATACATACAGAAAAAAAATAGAAATGAATTTAGTAAGTAATTTGAAACAAATCTCATAAAATTGCCTGAGGATTAAAACAAATTATAAAATATACCCATCCTTCCAATCAAAATTCTGGAACTCTGTCAGCGACATGACAAGAGAATTGCAGTAGAGTTTCTGATTCTCACATTACACAATGAACAACAGTGCCTCTGCTTATACAACAGTTTCATCAGCCAAGAGTTCTTTAAATTTGAAATTAACAGAGAAACACAAGATCACAGCTTAAAGAAGGAAATTCCATTCAAGATTAAAAGGACATTTTAATTTACTTAGTATATTAAAAGCTGCGAATTCAAAAAGATATGTCAATTCTTATTATTGACTCTTAGTAGCTTGGCTTTTCTCTAATGACAAAGAGGCATAATAGAATCATTTTGTTTGCTCCCCTTTTCTCCAAAATAACTAAAGCATGTCAGAAGTAATCCAGAATGTTTGCTATCCAGCTCCTGCAGTAATTTGGGCATAGACATGCTAAATGGATGGTCTCTTGAAATTTCTACTGCATGAAGGAAGATGGAAAACATTAACTGATACCATCACCTGTGTTTTCTAGAACTGTATTAGTTGGCATATATATATTAATATATATATAATATATATAATATATATTATATATATTATATATATATTAACATATATATATATATCAGTACCTCCTGTTGGATTTACCCTTGATAAGGCTGGATTTTCTTGCTAACTTTATCCTTCTTTACGGTATGTTCAGAGAAGTCATTAAGTTGGCCATGTCAGCCTCAAAATCCAGGACTAATTCAATTCAATTCAGCAAACATTTATTGAGAGTTTACTGTGTACCAAGCTCTGAGACAGTTGCTAGGGATATAAAAATGAAATATACATTGTACCCAAGAAGATTGCAGTCTATCTAGGTTAAAAAAAAAAAGAAGTGCTGAGCAAGTTACGGGAGGGTGGTAGAGATAATGTTTTCTAAAGTTTGAATATTTTGTTGACAACATGCATTATAGGTACAATCAATACAATTTCTTTTCAATATTGTTTCCTAAAGTCAGAAAATCATTACTATAATTAAAGTCATTTATCAAATGTCATATCTATATATCTATATCTAATCTCTATATCTATATATTACATATAATGGCTACATATTCCTATGCTATCCTTCTCAACAAGAGGTTGAATCCAATTTCACTTGCCTTTACTCTAAGCTAGTCTTAATGATTTGCTTAATCCAATAGAGGCTGCAGAGGTGATGTTTTAGAAATTCCAAGGTTAGGTCCTAAGAAACTTTAAGGCTTCTACTTGGGCCTCTTGGAGCCTCTTGAGTCTTCCAGGAGCCTTGAGTTGCCATGTAAGAGGATTAATTACCCTAAGACTGCCTTGGAGAAGCCACATATAAGTACTTTGTTCAAACAGTCCAAACCGAGCCCAGGGTTCTGGCCATTCCTGATGCCTAACATGTATATAAAGCCACCTTGGACCCTCCAAACCTACCCATCCACCAAACGGATATCATGAAGTGATCCTAGTTGTCACTATGGGGAGAATCGCTGAGCTGAGTTTTTCTCAAATTCTTGTCCTACAGAATTCATAAGATGTAATAAAATGGTTGCTGTTTTAGACACTAAGTGTTGTGGTAGTTACTCAGCAATTGATAACTGGAACCTATTTACATGTGTATGACAGAGACAACATAATAAACCTAAAAGTACATGAAAGGACTGTCTGATACATATATTCAGTGAAATGGATGAATTTAATGGATGCATTAAAAGAAAATACAACTTAGGAGGGCAGAGAAAGAAGCAAAAAAAAAAAAAAAAAAAAAAAAATTTCTTCTTCCGAGTGATGGATAGGGAAGAAAAAAATCAGAAGGCAACATAAGAATTAAAAAAAAAAAAAAAAAAATTTCAGGATGTGTCCAAAGCACATAAGGACTGATTTATCTAAGAAGATTGTATTGCAGGAATGGGGTTTCTGAACTAATAGGGAAGAGATTGCCTCACTAGCCAGGAGAAAAGGGAATTCCCAGTAATGGTACTTTGGGAAAAGCCCAGAAACATGGGCATGAGCTTTACTAACTACAATGAGAGGACTTTGAGGAAGTTTTTTGGGTGACAGGAGATTTAGGCATGTGTCGGGAGGTTGAAGGAGAAAAGGAAGTCTGGTGCCCCTTCTTGGAGTGCAATGAAGCTTGAAGTGAGGAGATTTTTGCAACACATGAGATGTTGGGAAGTGATCAAGGCATAGGAAAAGCGGTATAGTCAAAGTGATGAATAAAGAAAGCAACTTTGGCAGTTGAGGCGTGTCTAGACTCGTAGAGCACCAAGGCAGCACAGAGGTTGAGGAAGAGGAGTTAAGAAGATATGATGAAAGTCTGAACTAAAGGTGACAATTGAGGAATGAGGAGAAAGGAATTCGTCAAAAAGAAAGAAGGAATTTTATATTGGTTGGATAAGCCAAGCTCTGATCT